TTTTTTTTTTTTTTTTTTTTTTTTTTTTTTTTTTTGTCTTTTTATTCTCATGGCAAGGAAGAACGCACGTCACCAATAGTTTGAGAACATATTGGTTATTGCTTACCAAATTTGTCGACCATACTCCCAACGAAATGTTTGAACTTGTTCCATCCCTTCTCACATTCTTGCTGTAAGTGGTTTTGGGATATCTCTTCGCATAACTGGCACATCTTTTCTGCATCCTCTATACACTCTGATACTGCTGCTTTTACTCTAAATCTGGCATGTTCCAATTTCTTAATTCCGTCTTTAATTTTTTCGTTCAAATACCATACCGTTTTATTTGCAAGGTCTTCTAAGTGTGAAATTATCGTGACATTCGCTACGATCCCTAAATCGGTTAGGGCTTTCTTTGTCGTGTAATTAGCGTTTAGTGTAACGTTCGCTTTTAAGTACGAAAACAATATGAGGTTCAATTTTGTAAGCATCAGTTCTTTTGTGAGTTTTAGCTGCACTTCTTCTTTATTTCCAAATAAGCTGATTGCGCCATGGATATTCACCTTCGAGTAGAAAAAAATTCCAAATAGAGGCTTTACTACACCATCATGTGATGGCAGCTATGAAAGGAGTCAAGATCAATGGATTACTTCGACGATATGGCGGCCATCTCAGATCACAAGGCGTGCAGTACAGGGGGCCAATAAAGCTTTGTTACAGTAATGACATCGATTGATATTAACAGCTCGCCACGAAAAAATATTATAACAGAATACAACAAAAGATGAATAAAGACGGCACATCGATCACCTTTACCCATAAAAGAAATACAAACAACAAATGTCATCTTTATTTTGTTTTGCCTCTTGGAAAAATGGCCGCCGTATATCGTCGTACTAGTCCATTGAATCTGGTCCAATCTGATCAGTTACATATGCCAGAATTCAGTTTCCCGGGGTAAACACTACTGTCGTGACTATCATCGCGTGATGGTACAAAGGCTCTTTTATTCAGCAGAGATCATATAAAATGTGGTCCCAGATTTCGAGCCCATGACTATCAGCACTGAGGCAGCGCATTAATATCACATAACGCCCGTGCAGTAAGGTTTACTTTGATAAAATTTGCTTTAAATAAATTATATTTATCCGCTTGTTTCTCGATTGAGGGTTATTTGCAGAAAGGACCCCTTAGGCCCCGTCCACACGTGCCCGTTAATTTTTGTGTCCGTATACGCAAATTTTACGAAAACGGATTCGTGTGGACGGTGTGGACGCAAACAAATTTCCGGACACGTGTGGACGGGGCCTTAGACACGTGACGCGACTCATATGTATCGTAGTTAACTGAGCCAGTACAATACCTCTATGTTTAGTGGATCACGAGTGGCTTTGATCATGAAAACTGGACCGTTTTTGTTATCGGTCAGAGATCTGGAAATGACGACATCTCCTGGTAAATGAATCTTGCCCAGTTCGGCCTTAAATGATATTTCCTAAAAATCGATTAAATAATAAGATAATGTAATATAACGCTGGATAGATGGAAAGATATTTCCTACTGAATTGATTAAATAATAAGACAATTGGATATAACGCTGGATGGATGGATGGATG